CGGTGAGGCCGGGGCAGCGCCGCGGAGCGAACGGCGCACGCGCCATGCGGGGAGGGGTGGACGGAGCCGCGTGCGCGCATGCGCCAGCGCAGGGAGGGTTGGGTTACGGCGCGATGGCGCCGCCCTGCTCGGGAGATCTCGCGGGATTTGCGGGGTTCAGCGCTTGGCGTGCCGCGGGGAGATCTCGCGAGAGTCGCCAGCGCCGCCGCGCTCCCTGAGGGAAATCTCGCGAGGTTTGGAGCACGCGGCGGGCCTGAGGCCTCACCTCAAGCGCCTTTTGGAGGGGGGGGGGGCGTTGCCATGGCAACGGCGCTGGCAGGGCTCCTTATGCAAATGAGGCTAATGACGCTGATCGCTTCATCGCCAGCAGCCGGGATTTATGGAGATTTATGTAGATTTATGTAAATAAACCCAGATTTACACGGACGCATCTCGGGGTTTCAGCACTGCGCATGCGCGGCGCGCCGGCGCTCACGCGGCGCCCCCTCCCGGCCCGCGTGCGCGCCGCGAGGCGCTCGACCAATCAGAGGCGGCGCTGCCGCGGATCCACCAATAGGAGGCGAGAGGGGCGTGGCCCCAAAAAGGGGCGTGGCTAGCGCTGAAAGGGGCGTGGCCAGCCCAAAAAAACCCCCCGCCCCAATTTTGGGGTCAAATTGCCCCAAATTCCCAAAATTTCCCAAAATTTCCACAAGATTCCCAAAAATGTCCGCGAAATTCCCCCAAAATTTCCAAAAAATTCCCACAAAATTAAAAAAAATTCCCCAAATGCTCTTAAATTTCCCCAAATTTCCCCCAAATTTTCCTAAAATTCCCTAAGTCGCAAATTTCCCACGAAATTCCTCCAAAATTTCCCCAAGATTGTTCCAAAATTCCCTGAAATTCCCAAATTTCCCCAAAATTAGGGTAATTCCTACAAAATTCCCCCAAATTTCCAAAAAATTCTCCAAATTCCCACAAAATTCCCTAAAATTCAATAAAATTCCCCCAAATTTCAAAAAAATTCTCCAAATTCCCACAAAATTCCCAAAAATTCAATAAAATTCCCTCAAATTTCCCCAAAACTCTGCCAAATTCCCCCTAAAATTGCCGAATTCCTCCAAAATTTCTCCAAATTCCTCCAAAATTCTCCAAAATACCCTAAAATTCCCCCAATATTCCCTAAAATTCCCCAAAATTTCCCTAAAATCCCCCAAAATTCTCCCCAAATTCCCTCAAATTTCAGCAACATTCTCCCCAAATTCCCTAAA